TTTTACAGCTTTTTTTTCTAAAATAACACTTATTTCGTAGTTTGTTTTTCTGTAGTATTTTAGAACAAAATGCTGTAAAATGAGATATTTCTACAGAAAAACAAACTACGAAATAAGTGTTATTTTAGAAAAAAAAGCTGTAAAATGAGATGTTTACACTTATTTCGTAGTTTGTTTTTCTGTAGTATTTTAGAACAAAAAGCTGTAAAATGAGATGTTTACACTTATTTCGTAGTTTGTTTTTCTGTAGTATTTTAGAACAAAAAGCTGTAAAATGAGATATTTACACTTATTTCGTAGTTTGTTTTTCTTTAGTATTTTAGAACAAAATGCTGTAAAATGAGATATTTACACTTATTTCGTAGTTTGTTTTTCTGTAGTATTTTAGAACAAAAAGCTGTAAAATGAGTTATTTCGCGTGGAGTCGAATTCCGATTTTAAGTGTTGTAAGCTTATGACAAATGCAACAGGTGTCGCTACTTATACTCTTACCAAACACTCTACTTTCATGCATGATTATTGATTTTGGAGAAAATTTCTACCCTGCACAATGCTTATTTTAACCTGCACGATTATTTTTTTCGGTCATCTTTATCGAAAAACACAAAATTCAATTTCATACTATTATTTCGACCTGTAGAGATATTACGTTTGATGTATGAATTTTCCACCCAGCACTATTATTTGGAACACGAGAGAACTTGTTTGCACCCGAGTTTGAAAAATTAAACTGAGCCAAAGAAATTCAATATATTCCCCTCTCCCCTTAACAAAGCTGAAGCTAGCTAAATTAAAATGCAATTACGGAAAATTCATTTTGGTCGGATACCAAGATAAGTTTCCACTCGAATTAGGGTTAAGTTTTTAAAATTCTGTTAAAGCTTGTTACAGTGTTACATTTTGTTGTTCGAAAATGTTTAATAGCTGTGAATGTTGCCTGATCAGAATCGATTACTACAATATATATTTTTTTTTGTTTCTTGTTAAGCATAAAGTTACACAAAGGGCTATCTATGCTGTGCCCACCATGGGTATCGAAACCCGGTGTTTAGCGTTATAATCCTTCAAATCTTCCGGTGGGACAGCGATAAGTCTACGGATTTACAACGCTAAAATCCGGGGCTCGATTCTCGCGATTTACACAGCAGATAGCCCAATGTGTCTTTGCTCTGACACAAACAAACTGTTTATCAAGACTACTTTTAAAATTTCTCTTTCGCTCTCGTTTCACCCCCCCCCCTTTAAACTAAATCACTAGAGTTCAGTTTTCGAACCCTGTGATGGACACAGTGCAAAAGAAACTCTCGTTTTACATAATGTAAGTTGCCGAATCCTTTTTTTCTTTTCTTATTTTTTTGACAACTTAACCAGTAGATTTTATCTGTATTTAAAAATAAGAGTTTGAGCTCGTTCTATTCTACCATAAATGTGAACATTCAATAAGTGGGCTATTTAACAGGTCACTGAGCACAAAGCTGTTGGTGCGTCACAACAGTCACTAGACAAGGAACGCTGTAATTGCTTTCTGTTGGCGGCTGTGCCTCGGTTCATAATTAAACTAAATTATTTTTATTGTGGCAAAAAGAAATCTTATGTTTAATGAATAGCAAGAACTTTTCATAGCATTATTACTATTAGCTTATTTTAATAATGCCTTTTCTTAAAAAAAATGTATATATATTTTCGTTTTCTTTAGATATGGCACGTTCTGTAATTGGACTGTACATTTCGGGATTTTTCTGTATTTTTCTGTCATTTTTTACTGGAGTGGCTGGTTGCTGGAAACGTTCCTATGGAAACGTCGTAGCCACTGGTCTTTTGGAACTATTTACATGTAAGTATGCCATATTATAAACCATCGAATAATTTTGTTTTTAATAACCACTTTTCTTGTTCTTGAAATGTGTATTTAGTAATTTTTAATTATGCAGTAAACATCTGAATTTTTTTTTTATGCGTATCAGAAACCGGGTGTTTGGACTAATCCTTTTCCAAATCTTTTCTAATAAATCTCAAATACGAGTACAGATTTTATAACTTGTAAATGTGTGTATGCCGTTAAACATGTATGCTTTCTTTCTATTATAATAAAACTACTTAATTAAATGTAATTTTAAATCACCTTTCTACTCAATAGCGTTAAGAACCGTATTGTACTTCAGTACAGAGATGTGGAATTACTTGCTTGGAACACGTTATTTTTAAGACAGCCCGGTTTAGACTAAAATTATTTCTCATTCTTCCAGTGCATGCCACGTTCGTTGTGATTGGATAATTCTTCGTCATGAAACGCTGAAATGAGCTAATCATTTTTCTCCTATCAAGTAATCAAAGAGGTTTTCAATACATTATTTCCCCGAAAGGGGGTCTAAAGCCGCCTGTTTTAATCACTTACACCACATTACAGTAGTGTGTCATCTGTCAGTCAGTCAGTAGACACTAAAAGGACGTCACATAAGGGACGCTTAACGTCGCAAGTTGTACTGTTCTGACGTCAGTTAAACGTGCGCATATCATGAATCACAAGAAGTAACACTATGTAGGCTACAACAGAGCTAGACACATGAACTTCAAAAGCAAAAAATAAAAATATTTATTACTCTTAATTTGGATTTCATTTACTTATGAAACAGAACACTTTCGGGGACCCTGCGGAAGTACATCTAATATATATATATATATATATACTATGTATACTAACTAGCTACTTTTTAACGACTCCCCAACTAATATTGAGTCACTGAGCGTCTAGAATCGAGGTGACACAGACAACAAAAAATATGAAAGATGTCTTTTTCGATTCTGTTTCATTTATCGAAGAGTATATGCCTGTAATTGGTTAACAAACGTCAGCAGCAGATTACAATGGTGTAATTGGTTAACAAACGTCAGCAGCAGATTACAATGGTGTAATTGGTTAACAAACGTCAGCAGCAGATTACAATGGTGTAATTGGTTAACAAACGTCAGCAGCAGATTACAATGGCGTAATTGGTTAACAAACGTCAGCAGCAGATTACAATGGTGTAATTGGTTAACAAACGTCAGCAGCAGATTACAATGGTGTAATTGGTTAACAAACGTCAGCAGCAGATTACAATGGAGAATGGAAATGTGGAGTGCATAGTTGTCGTTTAGAAAACTCTTGTCCATCAAGGTGGAAATGTCGAGTGCATGGTTGTCGTTTTGAAAGAGCCTTTGTCCACCAGGGTGGAAATGTGGCGTGCATAGTATGTGTGTTGTATTTTTGTTTACAGAGCATAGCTAAATGGGCTATCCGCGCTCTGTCTATCGCGGAGAATCGAACGGAATTTTAGGTTGTGAGCCAGTAAACTTACCGCTGACCCACTGGGGAATGTAGCGCATAGATATAATATATCTGGTACGACGCTCAGGCAAAACATGCAAGGCGTATTCTGTTCTACATGAATCAAAGGATCAATCCCTGCCACGAGAACATTCTCCACATCATTGAAACCACTCCAGAAGATTGCAATGCTGGAACCCCAGCTCCCAATGGTTCAGCGGTAAGTCTAAGGACTTACAACGCTAAAAATTGGGTTTCGATACCTGTGGTTGGCACAGCATAGATAGTCCACTGTGCTTATTAATAACCAAACAAAAGCAGTGTCGGGTCGGGACAGCTCCAGCAGACTTAGGTGTCTCATGTAATTTTCTCTTTATACAACACATCACAAACTTCTAACCCCTTATTGTGTACACTTTGTGTCTGAAGTACCTGTTATTTTGCGTTTGTATCTGAGTTTTGTAATACCCTTGTATGATGCGGTTAAATCCTTGTCACTGGTAAAATAATCGGTCAACTGGAACTCGGTCTCACTTTTCCGGCTTAACTCTTACTTTTTTTAAGGGTCCTGACTTGGTCTAGTGTTTAGTGTGTCTGGGCTGTTAATCCAAGGGTTCATGGTTCGCGACCCCTTGTCGAAGAAGTCAACAACGTGCTCCACACTTGAGTGTCTACTCAATACAACCACATCTCATGACCCAGTGTCTACCTTAGATTACCAATATGTCATTCACTTAGTGTCTGCCCCAAACTACAAATATCTTTACTCAGTGTCTACCTTAGATGACCAATATGTCGTTCATTTAGTATCTGCCACAAACTACAAATATCTTTACTCGGTGTCTACTCCGAACAACCACTTCTCATGACTCAGTGTCTACTTTAGATTACCAATATGTCGTTCACTTAGTATCTGCCACAAACTACAAATGTCTTTACTCGGTGTCTACTCCAAACAACCACTTCTCATGACTCATGACCCAGTGTCTACCTTAGATTACCAATATTTCAGGACTCAGTATCTACCCGAGTAGTGTCTATCCTAAAGAACCAGTACCAATATGTGAGGACTCAGTATTTATCCCAAAGTGCCAATGTATTATAACTCAGTTTATCCCAGATTACCAGTGTGTTATGACTTAATGTATACCCTGAAGTACCAGTATATCATGACTCGGTGTCTACACTTTTTGCTAATATGCAAAGACTCAGTACCTCTTCTAAAGTACTAGATATCATGACTTAGTGTTCATTCCGGATTACTGTTGTGTCATAACTCACCATCTACCCCAGAGTAGAAATATGTCTGGGCTCAGTTTTTACTCCCTAGGTACCAACATGTCAGGATTCTACCTCGAAGTGCCGTGTTCATATTATGTACTGTATTACTAAAATGTTTCAAACATATATTATTTATTAATTGTGTGCCAAATAAAAATAATATAGCCTCTAAAACATTTACTTAACATTGTATGGTGTTTAGTGTTTTAGACCTAAATGAACAGTACCTTATGTGGCATCTGACCTAAACGACTAAGTCAAAGACTCAAAGTTCAGGCATAACGTCCCGAAACTTAGAACTACTGACCACAGGAAAGGAGGGGCATCCGGTCAGCAACACTCGTCACCCATGCGACTACTCTCAGCCGAAGAGCAGGATTGATTGTCACATTTATAATGCATCTACAACTAAAAGTGTGCAGCACGTTCAGCATCATATCGTGGGCTCGAACCTTCAGGACAGCAGCCTAGTTACTATCGGCCCTAATTAACATCGATAATTCCCGAGATTAAGTGCTACGTTCGTGTGACTCTTACGTTAGAAGTGATCCTGTAAACAGTAATAGCATGGACGTACAAGTGTGACTCTTATTTTACAAGTGATCCTGTAAACAGTAATAGCATGGACGTACAAGTGTGACTTATTTTACAAGTGATCCTGTAAACAGTAATAGCATGGACGTACAAGTGTGACTCTTATTTTACAAGTGATCCTGTAAAACAGTAATAGCATGGACGTACAAATGTGACTCTTATTTTACAAGTGATCCTGTAAACAGTAATAGCATGGACGTACAAGTGTGACTCTTATTTTACAAGTGATCCTGTAAACAGTAATAGCATGGACGTACAAGTGTGACTCTTATTTTACAAGTGATCCTGTAAACAGTAATATCATGGATGTACAAGTGTGACTCTTATTTTACAAGTGATCCTGTAAAACAGTAATAGCATGGACGTACAATCAATTTGGTGCACAAATAGTTTAAATAAATATGTTTAAAACCCTTTCAGTGACTCTAAAGGAAGAAAGACGCAGAAAAAGAGAAACCCAGAAACTGAAATTTCCTGGACTTCAATTGAAAACTCTAATATTAGTGTGACAGTTATTGGTAAATTCAAAACTAAGTTGATGGGTTTCACTCTATATTTACTATTTTAAAGATCTAACAATAAAAATAATATATAAGGAAAGAAAAAAAGCGGTCACAATGACAAAAGTCAGGAAATGTTTTAGAGTTTGTTCACAATGGCAAGTGACATAAAACCTAGTAATTTCACCCAGTTTATTTGGTCAGTTCTTTACACCATTGGTTTTTAAACTTCTTCGTCGGCGGACCACCTTCCGGTCCTACCCTATCATCTTTCGTTTGCCACAGAAAAAAACAAAACAAAAACTAATCATTGTTAATGGCAAGAATGGTACTGCTTTTTTATGTGGCTCGCATTTTTGGCCACCTGGGGAACCATCGCGAACCATCAGTGGGTTGCGGACCACACTTTGAGAACCACCGAGTGTATGATAGGCAATATCATAAAATTGATAACTGTTACTGGTAGTGAACGATAACAACGAGGATACCCAAGTGGTAACCTAAGGCAGAATGGTTATAAACACTTTTTTTGTGGTATGCCTATTACTCATAATTACATCTAATTATTATTACTTGTAATTTTTATTGGAGATTTTAAGCAGCTCTTGTGGTAGAAATATTACGTAAATAATTAAAGAAATAAAAGTGTTAACATTTCTTAAAAGGAAATAACCACACTTATAAATAAATTCAATGTATATGTTTTTGATACGAAAAGTAGTTAAGTCTTGCGCAGGTTTACACATTTCCTTCTTTTAAGTACCGCGTTCTTAACCGAAATAAAAAGGTTCTGTTATAAAAGGAAACCCACAGAATTACTTTGTATTTTTAACACCCTCAGCTCTCCTCGTTGCAGCTGCTATGGGCCTGTGGCATGGAGTACATCACTACGACTACCAAAAACTGAAAGACCACATGGCTTATTTCGGTTGGCCAGAAGTAAGTATGATAGGACAAATTAGAATATAATGCATATAACTTCTTTATGGATCACAAAGTAGCCATAGCAGGATTTCACCAAAAGTTAAAGCCATTATGAATAAGAAGAGGCCGACAGGCTGTAGTCTTCATAATGTTAAATTACTAAGCCTGTTACTACAAGTGATGGGACGAACATTTGTAAAGTGTATGTGATTTGAACTTTAAACTGGGCGAACTGGAGTGATCGTACTGATCTTTTTTTTGACGTATTTTCTCACGGGCTTTATTAAAGAAAAGCCAAGTGTAGATGATTCGTAGTAATATCAAAATTGAGTTGAAAGTTTGTATTCACTGTGTTTTAGAATATCTTGACAGAGTTATCGATATTATTTATTGTCTGGTACCGAGTTAAATTTTGTGCGTGATGTTTAGTAACTTTTATTAAATTGTTAGCATTGCTTTTAACGAATTACATGTTATTTATTACTTTTTAATTTCCCAAATTTATAAACATTATCTACATTATACTTGGATTACTGCATGGGTAGCTCAGATTTAAGTTTTTTTTTATTAAGCATTTTAATATTTATGTTAGTTCGAGTCTAGTGCTCTTAAATATGTTTTGCGACGCCATCTATGGAGCTGTATTAGAGCCTAAATAAAGATTTTATTTATATTTAGAAATTTATCGATAAGCATTCGTCTTTTGAAAAAAAAAACGCTTAAAAAAATTTGAAAGCTTCTCAATAAAATAAAAAAAAACACAGAAAACTCAGTTTTATACACGATATCATGGATGTTTCCCTGACATATCTAGATATAGTAAAATACCAATTTTAATACATAGACTTAAAATAAGACCCAAAACTCTAGCGCTTTCGAATAGTTGACTATTCTTCTTCAGGACCCTTTGTTCTCCTGAAGAATAGCCAACTATTCGAAAGCGCTCGGGTTTGGGGTCTTATTTTAAGTCTATTACACTTTATATGTGATCCTTTGTGCTAACTCTTTTATCAAAAAAAATAAAATTTAAATACATGAAATTTACATAATAACAGCAACAAAAACTAACACGTAATACCCTGAAGTTTTTAGGTAGTTTTGTATCTTACTAAAGTGCTTTGAAATCCTCGTAAATTGACGTGTGGATAGGTATAGTGACTTTCCATAACTGAAATGAGATTCGGGCGAGTAATTATCTAGTGGACAGAAAAGGCTTTGTTTGTGTTTGAGCGCAAGATTACACAATTGTTTATCTGCGCTTTGCCTACCGTTGGTATTCCAACCCTGATTTATAGGGTTAAAGTCCCTAAGAAAAACCTACTGGGATTTAGCTAGTAACAGTTTGTACATGATTCGCGTTTGCTCTCATTGTCTCTAACGTTTGTAAACAACCACAGTATTAAAATATTTCAATAGCATTTCTAGTACACATATTCGGATTTTTTTTCTTTATTGATTGCCACTTGCATTAGTTTCAATTTCTCTTCCAGGTTTTGAAACAGCCAGGAGGAAGTGACTTTTACTATGGTTGGTCTTACCTACTGTCGTGGATCGGTGTGGGTTTGAATCTCATTGCCGCCATTTTGTTGTTATGTGGTGCCCATTGCTTACGTCATGAAAAGAAGAAGGAAAAAACTAAGTACATGCACTATCTGATGCCAGTATACCCCGAGAAAAGACAGCTGTATGGCTACGGATATGGCTATCCTGGTCCTTATTACCAGTATGGATATGGCTATTAATCATAACACAATAGCTACAGAATTTATCGCAAGTTCTTCCAGGTCTGATCACAGCGTCATCTGGAAGCTCGAGATTGATTTATAGTGCACGTGCTGTAACGAATGAAACTGCGAGAAATATACCATTGAAAATGTACTTTATAATTCTGAACGAAGTTTAAAATGTGACTGTCAGAACTGTGAATGAAATCTAAAAATGTAATTGGCAGAATTTTCCAAGAAATTTAAAAATGTAACTGTCAGAGAAATTTAGTAACCAATACTGTGAAAGACATCTTGGAATGTAACAACAACGAGGGCTACGAAAGAGGTGTTAAAAATATTTGTCTGTACTATTAACGAAGTTTAAAATGTGTTTGCATAATTGTGGAAGGATTTTTAAATTGAAATTTTCAGAATATTCGGATAAAAAACAAGACTGTAGCTATAGGAACCGAGAAAAAAATTTAAGTAAATTTTCAGATCCGTGGAAAGTCAAAAATGTAACTAAGTGTCAGATAAACGGATAAACTACCTGATTATTTTACATTTGTAATTTAATTTGTTTCAAAGTGAGAAGATTTTATATTAACATTTCATGAGCCTCCAGTGGCACAGCGGTATGTCTGCGGACTTACAACGCTAGAGACCGGGTTTCGATACCCGTGGTGGGCAGAGCACAGCTAGCCCATTGTGTAGCTTTCTGCCTAACTTCAAACAAACATTTCATGAAACCAACGGAGTAGTTATAAATTAATGTACATACGAGTGCCACAACACTGTCGAATGTAATATTTTATAGAAGTAGCAGGCTAATTACTAAAGCAAACTCATTTGATTTTCAAGACATCAAAGAACTTTTCTTAGAACGTTGAAGTAAACTATTACATTGCTGTATGAAGTATTTTCTAATATTTATGGGGTTACTAACAAGTTCTTATTTACGACGTGATATACTGTGAACAAGAATATCACTAAAAATACTGAGAATAGAAGTAAAGGATATTTTAGAAATAAATATACTGAATCTGTATATATATACATTTCATTATTTACTTTTGATATATGTGTTTTACTTGGAAGTAGCAGATCCAATGATCAGTCTTTCTATAATCTTTGTTTGACGTTTCAGATGATAGAGGGCGTTGTTATTCAGATGCTATCCAACTAAGAAAAATATTTATAACAATACTGTATTTTGATGTGCCTGTTTCGTCGAAATAAAATCTTAAATATTTCACACTCTTTACTCCATTGTCAAAACTGATTATGTTATCCTATCATTATATTTAATCTGTATTTCATATAAAAATAAATATAAGAAAACACCATACCATGTATTAACATTATGCATGACTTGTATCAACTTTGACCAACAATGATAATAAAAGACTAGCAGATACTGCTGCAAACAGTACCTAAAATAGGCTTAACTAAGAAGTTAATATTCTATAGAATAGCCCAAAAGATGTTGGATATCAGAATATTCATCATGACTTCTTAACGAATCCGCGTCATGTCAAAGTGACATCAGAAGAACAACAGAGAAATTCAAGATGGCCGTCAAAATTCACAAATGCTTTATTGTATGCGTCAGAAAAAATAACTAAACAAACTGTATAAAAATGCATAGAAAGCATATTTTATGTTGTAGCATCAATTTAACAGCGTAATAGGCTTTCTATATATGATTTTGAAAGGTATAAACCAAAGAGAAAGAAAATGTCGAAAAATTAAAATAATTGTTTGAAAATGCAGTTTGACAAATTCAAACGCATCATAGTAATATATACAACTGTACCATCTATTGAAGATATTTATTTTCAGAATCACTGTTTACCTCTGTTTAGCAATGACACAAGAGTAAACACATTGAACGTGTACTCCTCGTTACAAACACCATTGCAGTCACAGACCATGTCATCTAGTAGCTCTTTTCATAAAGTACGTGTACTCCTCGTTACAAACACCATTGCAGTCACAGACCATGTCATCTAGTAGCTCTTTTCATAAAGTACGTGTACTCCTCGTTACAAACACCATTGTAGTCACAGACCATGTCATCTCGAGCTGCTACTGACTGTGTCATAAATACGAGCATTTCAACTCATCATCAAATTCATAGCTGAATTCTGTATATGGCGGAAACTCGTGTCTGGATATTAACACGTTTTCCCAAATCCAAAGTTGGAACACGCATAGCTTGCAGCATAAACAAGAGTAATCGGAGAGATTGCATAACCTCGCCCCGCCGCCCCTTTTCGAGATTGCATGCCTTTATATTGGATAGCATTAAATTTCACTTTCGAAAGCACATAAAATCCTTCTCAGATCCAAAATGATCAACGATCGGGATCAGTTTTTGTAGTGTGATGGTGAGTCTCAACCTTAATGTACCTATGAAATTTGGTACAAATCCGATCACGCGAAAATGCCTTATCTCCTCCTTTATAAAAAAGTTCTTCAAAATGATCCAGAATCCGGATCAAATTTGGGGAGGACTGTTCCATATTGACTTCTCATCTTATGTAAAAGTTTCGTGATAAGCGCGCGGAAACACAGACACACACACACACACGAACCAGATTGCAATACCCTTCCCCTTCTCCAGAGGCGAGGGTAATAAAATAAAAGCAGTTTGCTGTTGATGGGAGATTCCTTGGTTTGGCTGATTTGGTGGTCTTGTCACAACGTAATTAGTTGAATGATGTACATTTACTAGTTCCCTAAAGTCCTCCAATGATGGCAGTGTACAGTTATTTAGGTTGGTACGACAACAAGATCTGTGAACGGATGGTACCTGTCTGCTTTATGTATCATTACTTTAAACACGGATTTCTTGCCTTTGACAGATAAAAGTCTTAATGTGTCACACCTGTTGGGAAATATACTGAGAGCACGGTATTACATTGTTCCTTTGACAATTATTCATACAGACTTATGCATTGGAATGAACATTTATAAAATCTGTGTGAATTCCGACTCAACCAGTCCAAAAGAGGGTCTGGCATGGCCAGATGGTTAGGGCGCTCGACTAAAAATTTCGAATCCCAATCCTACCAAACATGCTCGCCCTTTCAGCCTTGGGGCGTTATAGTGTGACGGTCAATCCCATTCGTTGGTAAAATAGTAACCCAAGAGTTGGCGGTGGGTGGTGATGACTAGCTGCCTCCCCTCTGCTAAATTAAGGACGGCTAGCGCAGATAGCCCTCGTGTAGCTTTGTGCAAAATTCAACACAAAACCAAACCAGTCCAAAAGATATTTGTCTGTGCCTGTCTCGTGAAAGTGGGTTTTCTCGGTGACCTTCCGTTTCCCCTCACAACAAATTCTACGTCACTTGGATTTAATGATCCCAGCCTTGGCATTGGATTTATAAATCCCAGCCACACCGTGACCCTGATTAAGGGAAGTTTGTTGGAGTATGTTTTGTCCAAAATCTGTCGCCTTGCTTGTTATCGTCATCGAAGCCATCAGTCTTGCTCTTTTTGTCACAGACATTTCTCCTCCATCTCATGACGTCAAAATCGCATTAAAATAATACCTGTTTATTCTCTGTAATTAAATTCTAAATCGAATTCAATTCTAACTAATAAATTACCACGAGTGGGGCGAAGGGGGATTATAACATCCCTGAATACCCCAGTTTGGGAAAGTTTCTTTCTTTTAAAAACTAAATCCCTTTTAAATATTTCACTTGAACATACACTTTGTTGGCGGTGGAGAAACAACATCAAAACATCAATATCTGTACTGTTTATGACTACAGTTTGTTTTGTTTATCTTTCAGTACAATGCTGTACAATGGCCAATCTGTGCTGTACCCACCACAGGTATCAAAACCCGGTTTTAAGCGTTATAAGCCTTCAGACGTAACGTATAGGGGCGTGACTATAGTATCTGCAGCGTCTTATACTATCCTAGTGTCCGTTTCTTCATGGTTGGTTCGTCACTGTTTCTGGTAACGCTTTCTTGTATGAATTTACTGGAATGTTTTGTTTGTAATTAAGCACAAAGCTACATAATGAGCTATTTGTGATCTGCCCACCACGGGTATCAAAACCCTGTTTCTAGCGTTGTAAATCCGCAGGCATACCGCTGTGCCACTGGTGGGCTACTGGAAGGAGTCCTTGAAACAGTACGTTTCCACTGATTTGTAACTGTTTTTTTTTCTTCTTTATTTGTATGTTTTGCATATTATTCAGAGATTTTACATTACTTCCCTGAAGCAGATCGAAAACATTTTTGGGGGATGTTTACCCCCTCCCCCATTTTTTTCACGCTGTCAATGTTCAGTCCCAATTTTGTCAAACATCTCCGTTCCTTTATCTTAGCAGTTCAACATACGATCTCCATGGTCGTTAGAAGCACGTACACCTGAAGCAAAGTTAACGAGTTGGCTCGTGCTATTATTCAAGGCAGACAGATCAATAAATGTCATTTTCTTTACATAGTCATTGGTCTGTTTGCGTCTAGCTTTAGTGTCAGTGATGAACTTTAGAAATATCTTCGGATTTTTACAGAGCTCGAGCAAACATTATCATGAAATGTCATTATGTACTTTGATGTCTCGACAAAACCACCTGACTAAAGTGTTTCCTCGAAGAGTTAGTCCAGTAATGCCATTTGACCCTTTCAGTGCTTTGATAACTTCGCTCTGAACAATCCATCATTAAAAGGAACGTTCACATCACAGGGCAACATTTGCACTTGAAACAGCTGGACGGTCAAATACCGTGCATGCCTTGTCCGATTTGATGCGATCAGTTGTTGGAGTAAACAAGACGTTGGATACTGATTAATCTCCGGCCTCGGTGAAGATGTAAACATTTTCAGTGGCATTGATAATTTTATTAGATAAACATCCTGTAACTCCCTTATCCTACGAACTCGTCAGTCAGGGGTCATATGTAGGCATCCTTTTCACTGCAACCTGTCGTGAAATCTTGTCATCTGGTTCGGCGTTTTATACGAAGTCTCTTAATTCTTCGTATCACCAGAGATGTCTTTGTTATTTCTAATACACCACTATTCTAATTGTTTCAGCAACCTGCTTCATCAATCAGTCAGTGTCCGATTAATGTCTTTTGTTGAAAGTATCATCGATACAGTTCCTACAGTAAACACATCTGATTCGGACAGAAGGTGTCGCAGACCAGCATCTCCGTAACCCATTCCTTCGAAACCAGACATCAGCCTATACATGCTGCCTTCACGTGCAAACGAATGTTATAACTTTAACAGTATCTGGCTAGTTGGCCAATACGTACTTTTACTGGTTTTACTTACCTTGTCAATGATATCTTTGGTTATTTTCCAATGCCGTACAGTATTTGTCTTACATTCTGTCAAATGGTGTCAAGGGTAACGTTCAACTATATACATCATTTATATCTAGTATGTGAACTGTGTTTGTTTTTCTTTCTGGGCAATCTAGTGTTGCTTTTATAAAAGAAGATAAGCGTTTTTTTAAAAGTATTTAAGTAAAACTGTTAATTAAAGGTGTTATTGTACAAAATAAATACGAAATAGGGAAAAAAATAGTTCAGCATGTTGTATTTTTCACCTTGTGGCTTTGCTCTAAAACAACTAAACATGTTTTCCAGCTAAATTTCAATGTAGTTTTGGCACCTTTCATAAATACCTATTTCTGCCGTCATCTTGGGGGCCAGCTTGAATTTCTTTATCTTTCTCCTAATGCCAGCATGGCGCCCCCACTGGCACAGCGGTATGTCTGCGGACTTACAACGCTAGAAACTGGATTTTGATACCCGTGGTGGGCAGAGCACAGATAGCTCATTGTGTAGCTTTGTGTTTAACTACAAACAAGCCAGCATAAAAGCCATGGCGAACATTTTCATGTGCAACATCCTACTATCCTGTCAGATATGCCCCGGGATTTGCAGAATTAAAAATTACAGTTAGTCGTATAGATAAAGTTACACTATTTGGAAATATACTTTGTAGCCCAAACGTATGAAGGTATTATGACATGTATATATATATATACGACGAAACGAAGTGTTATATTTTTATTTTTTACCAAATCTCGTGTCTTTTCTTTCTGTCTATCTACATAAAGGTGAGCTTTCAGAGAACAGAAAAACAAATCTCGTCTGTCGAAAGCTCCAGTATTG